GCAATAAGCACTCTTTTAACATTTATTTCTCATTTTAGGGATGGGGAGATGTGATTGCCATTCAAAAGTCTGCAGGTTTTTTTTTTCTGTTCATAGTTACAGAGGGAGCTTGCTATTTTTAAGGCTGTTTTTAAAACATTTGAACATGTTCGGTGAAATAATTTCTAGGGTTTGTTTTTTGTTTTTGGTTTTTTTTTTTTCTTTAACTGACTCCTTTTAAAAGCTCTGGAAAACAAATACACAGGAAAAAAATGAAAATATGTTAAAACAAGGAATAAAGCAGTTACTGAAGTGTAATAATCCTGGTTTATAGCAAACTTTCCATTTAAATTGTTTTTATTAGAGATAAACCTGTTAAGCGTTGAGGAATTAAATGCTGAATAGAGAAGGTTGTTTTGCTGCTATATAAATGAAGGAGTACAGCTGGTTTTACAAGTGAATTATTTGCCCGTTTGAAGGGCTCTGGTTACTTTGGCATCTGTTAACAAAAAAACCTATTATTTGTTTGTTGTCAAGAAGGATGCTATATTTTTCACTGGGGCAAGAGGGATTTTAACACTAAGGTTTGTAGGTACCATGAGCTTTCTCATCGTCCTTACACCCAGTTTGCTAGAAGGAGCTCAAGGAGAAAATGAGGCAGAGAGATTTTCGGGAATTCCTTGGCCCTGCTAATGCTACGCAGACTTCTGGCATGCGGCACTTTGGGACAGTATTGAGAGGGAGCAGCCTGCAACTCCAAGTATCAAAAGTCACTAATGGACTGAAACTCTCCTCATTTGGGAGGGCTGGGGGAAGAGAAAAATTCAATATACCACTAAGTCTCAGCATCTCCTTTCAGACAGCTGGTCCTGGAAAATTTCATTCAAAGACCATGAATTGGAAGTCCTCGCAATAGTTCTGTCGATTCTTGAGCAAAGGTGACTGGAAATTCGTGACAGCGAAGGAAGGTCTTGTTTTATTCACTCAACAGAAGTGAAATACAAGGGGAAGGGAGAAAGAACAGATCTGTGCGGAAAATGTCACTCGGGCTGTAACCTGAGCCTTAGCGAGCTGTGCCTTTTGGAGGGTTTGGTGACCCTCCGAAAATCCTTGCTCTCTGGCTGCTATTATTGTAGCCAATTTCCAACTAAAATAAGTCTTTTGTCATCACCAGCCATGCCGCCTCTTGCTGAGAAGAAACAAAACTTGTGCATGGCAGTGAGGGCGGCCAAGCTGAAGGTCAGAGTGCAGAGGCGAATTGCTGCATCCCCGGGGACAGGGCTGGATCTCACCCGTGGGACCATCGATGCACCAACCGCAGAGACTGCCAGTGACCTCTGGAGACAGACCCCAGGCGAGAAGCCTAAGAGAAAACATCCTAGTAAAATGCAAATTGGAGGAAAGAGAGTTTCCTCCTCCTCTTTGGGGTTATGCAGGTGGAATGGCTGGGTTTTTCTTGCTTTTGGGGACACAGCAGAAAGCACAATCTCATGTATCCGAAAGGGCAAGGAAAAGTTAACTTGAAAAAAATAACAAATACTTTAAACTTCTGTGTTTGCCCAACTGTTCAAATGTTTCCTCCTGGAAAAAAAATACACTGAGGGATCTTGTGTTGTTTGTGCCACTATCGATTCTGCTCTTTGGAGGAAAAAAAAACCCAAACCAAAACACCCTTTCCACATCGGAGCAAAGGTGCCAATGCGTAGAGCACTGGTATGGGAAAAGATACTTTATACAAGCCTTTGAGCCTGTGCGGGTCTTTACTCACAGGAGTAAGGTTATGCAGCCATCTTAATCATTAACTTGACTTTTATACTGAGAGGTATTTTGACAATGCTCCATTTGAGTAGCACTTGATACACGAATATCTTTTTTAGGTCCTGATTTCTCTGAACTTTTAAAAATGTGAGTGATTCAGGGTTTCTTTCTCTTGAAATAGGTGAATGTGAACATAGGAGAAAATGGGCAGTGAGATTTTTCCTGTTAACTTTTCTATTCCATCATTTTTACTGGTGTTATGTCAGCCTGGTGCTTTGGAAATCAAGAGTGATCAAAAGATCTTGGCCCTTCCATGAAAGAAAAAAAAAGAGAGAGCATGAAGAAATTATCCCCATGCCTGTATATTTCTGCAGCAACAGCTAATTTGCAATTTTGCTTGCAAAGAGATCTAAAATGTGATTTATAAACATTACAGCACTGCATTGTGCTCTCTCAAGGCAAGCCACATTAATAGTTTTAATCTGATGGGTTCTTATGAATTCCAGGTTTAGGATGCAGGAAGAAACTTGAAAGTGAATAAGTGAATACTTTCTTCCTTTTTTTTTTTTTTTTTTTAATGCATAGTGGTTTGGAGTCTACTATAATGCAAAGTGAAGCATTCTGTTACAAAGGCAGGGAGGATGGGACAGAAGGTTAAAGGGCATCCTGGAAACAAACAGCTGGACCAGTTTATTTAAACAGATACAAGGATGGGGAGCTGACCTCCATTTGACTTCTAGTGGGAGGAGCGAGAATGTCATTTTATTACTTTGCCCAGAAGGAAGATGTTCTTGCGTCTGAATTCCCCCTGAAGACATCCAGACACTGGGCTGTTGGGCAGAATTGCAGCTTATAAAAAATACTTATATGAATGTGTAAGAAGAAGATAACTGTTAAGTACCTGTGTGTCAGATGTTTTTAAAGCAGATATCCCCAGCAATAGCGTGGGGAAACAGGTGAGAATCAGTCTTACCATAGGCACGTCTTGTGGATACTTATTGGTAAATTCTAGCTATATAGTTCATTATTATGAGACCTTCGCTTCTTATTAAAAGCACTTGTAGTTTCGAGGAGAAGGAAGAGAAGGTAGTGAAGCTGGGGTGTGCGTGCTTGAGGTTGCTCAGGGTTTCTTTGGGATAAAAGCTTTTGGCAAATGAAGGTTTCAGTGACCAGCCAATCTCACCAAAAACCTGCTGCAGTAACAGGTCCTGGCAATCGGGCAGGAGAAGGATGGAATAAACACAGCAAGAGCCTGCCTGGCTTGCAGAAGGAAATGGCTGGGGCACTGGGGTTTTGTGTTGTTGTTTTACATAGGAGAGTTACTGTGGAAATTGCTTTCTGCAAATGCAGATTACAGATATTAAACAATTTTCTAATTGGTCATGGAGCTAAGGCAGCTAATGGGGGAAAAAGAGCAGATTTTTTAAAATTGCTTATTTCACATGGTGTTTGTGCTACACCTGTGCTTATAATGAGAAAGGAGAATTAGTCTAACCTTCTGCTCACATGATTCTAATTTTCATGGTTTGTACAAGATAAGGATAAACTGATTTGCAACACCGTTTGCTGGAGTTGAGGGTTTGTTTTTTTTTTGTTGGAAATGTGTACAAAAATTGATCCAGTACTGGTGCTGACAAAACATGACCTAGTTCAGATGTAAGGGTTCCAGACCGACACCCAGAATTTGTGCCTTTGAGCCCATTTTGTCAAGACAGGTTTGATTAGGACTCAACATCTTTATTAATTTTTGCAGGAGTTTGGGTAACAAGGGTCAGTTGGGAACAGGAGATAGGAGGAGACCAAAATCACTGTGCTGGTCTTTGATGAGGGCAAAACAAACAGCACAGGGCCGTGGTTTGCGATTCTCCCCCCAGCTGGTGTAGGGGAATGGGTGGGCAGAGCCGGTTCCTGCAGGAATGTCCTGGTGGCTTTATCTCTGCAGTAGGAGAGCTCCTGCTAAGCCACCCCAAGCAAAGGCAACGAAAACAAGCACTAGTAGCCCTTTGTGGACTTTCCCATTGCATTTTGCAAGTGTACTATGGTTTTACTCACGCTCATGCTTCTTCCTTTACTAGTAAATATTGAGGCATATACATTTTTATTAGTCCCGTTCTCTCTCACAAAGAATGTAAAGTCTGGTTATGAGGCTTTGCCATGATTAAATCTTGATGGAGATGTTTTCCAAATGTTTTTTAACTAAGCTTTCTGATGAGTAAAACCACAAGAGAAGTTCTTCTAATGCTCTTCAGACAGGTTCCCAGCCACGGTTTTGAGCCTCCTGATTTCAGCACCACAAGGACTGCCCACAGAGGAGACCAGGGCACTTGTGATCCCTCTCCTTCTTCTATTTTGCTCCAAATTATTTTGAATATTCCTTTCCCAAATAAGCGTAGCAAGACTAACTGAGGCGAAGAGCTACAGAAATGCAAGTACGGCTGCAGATGGCTATTTTTAAAAACAACCGTACCTTTTTTTTATTTCCAGAGATCTGCTTTTCATTGTTCAGAGGGAGTTTTCAGTAGTCCAGTAATTACAGTTTAACAAGATGTTTGCTGTAAATGGTCAAGCCTAGCTGGAGAAAACAGGATTATAAATTCAATTACTGTAAAGCTATGACCTCGCCTTGACCCCTCAGACTTTGCATAAAGAGAGAAGGGGGGGAAAAAAGCCCACCAGAAATGGCTAGGAGGAATGCACGGCTCTGAAGTCCCCAGCAGTGTGACTTAGCGGTGATAAAACTCCAGACGTTCTCTCATTTGATGGGGTTCTGCCATCACAGTTCATTATCTTAATAGTGGGCATTAAAAGGGAATTAGGTTTGCAAGAGGTAGGGGCAAGTTTTGAAAAAGAAAAAAAAAAAACTGGAAAAAAAAGAAGTCGGGAGGACATAAGGCAGAAATGGCACTAATGAGGGGGAGGTAAGCAGATGCCCTTACGAGCATATCGCCGGCTTCACACAGTTTTTTTTCTGCTCCGTTCTGAATTGAGAAGAGTGTTGCTGATATTGTTTCCTGAAAACTCAGCTGATTCCCCCATGAAAAGATGAAATGGAAGTGCCCAACTGTGGTAAAAAGCAGGCAAACATAAATCAGCTCGGAAACCCCAAGCTTGTGCTCTCAAAGGTCATCTGGGTTAGAGGTTTCACAGGATTTGCATCCCCACGCAGCCCGATGGAGAGCACCGTGGCGGGGCAGGAGGCTCAAGGATGGGTTTGCTAACACATTTGCTAACCTAACCGTTTTCTTTCCTCTTTTTTCTTGCAGGTTTATTAATGCTAGAAGAAGAATAGTTCAGCCCATGATAGACCAGTCCAATCGAGCAGGCAAGTCCCCAGTAGTAACTGTATTCAAGTCACGCAGGCAAAAACCATCCTCAAGCCATTCACCAGGAGGTCCATTACCTGGTAAATAAATGAGAAATGAATGCTGGGAGTGATTGACAATTAAAATACAACCAGCTTTGTTTCATTACAACCCTAATCATTTTAACATTATTAAAATATTTTGGGGAAAAAAAAGACATTGAAAATTCAAAAAAAAGAAACTAAAATTATCTACTCCATGACCGAACTTTCTGTACACATTTGGAATTAAAGTTATTTCTATTTTTTTTAGTAGTTGTTTTGAGTTTTCCTTCCCAGCTCCTTCTGCTCCTGTGACCACTCCCTGGTGCATGGCTTGGTGTGGAATTGCTGTAAACTTTATTACCTGTCAAAAGGGCAAAGGGGTCAGAATCGCTTGTGGGACTCAGTAAAGTTCAAAGACACTCAATGAGGTAGAGCTTTATGTGCTTTAATAACCCAAGGCAGCTTACTTCTGAAGCCAGCTTTTAATGTACAGTTAAAACCCCAAGTTCAGGTAGTGGTACTTTTGTCCCTTGTCTCTTCTTTTTAGTAGCTGTCTTTTGGAATTGCTGGGTGTTCGGAGTTTACTTTGGGGGGATTTTTTTTTTTTTTAAATCCTGAATTTTCACATGCTGGTTCTGTCTGGGATTGTGGCTTGCAGCTCTGTGTAGGTATTTACCATTGAGGAATAGCCTGTTACTCCCAGTTGGTTTTGTGTTCTGAGTCTTGCTGACAAACTATCCAAATGCATCGTTGTCCAAGATGCCTTTGGGCCACGCTTCCTCTTTAAGTACATTTGATTATTTTGCCATTAGAGGTAAGTAGCTGGCACAGATATGTTCAGGTCCCGCTCTTAGAAAGGCACATGGGTGTAATTTAACACTGCGATTTCAGTGTGACTATTCCAGCCATAAAATCCAGCTCCTATACAGGTCTTTGCATTGACGTCAGCAGTGGCAGCAGCTGGAGCCGGGGCTCCTTGTGTCTTGAGATTTTGGATCGCTAACTTCATTTCCAAATTTGCTGTACGAAACCAAGCCAAAACTAAGCAAGCTGGTTAGCCCAGCCTCTAAATTCGAACAGTAGATGTTTTTCCCTCTTTTCAGAGCCAGCATCGATAGCCATCTCACACAGTCTGTGGGTTGGGGGGGTTGTGTCTTGATGCCATGAGAAGATGTGACCCTTTTGTCTGTCACTAAAAAGCAATGTTCTGCGCTTTTCCAGTAAGTCAAGGAACACCCTATAACCCTGATGGGCAGCCGATGGGAGGTTTTGTGATGGACGGCCAGCAGCACATGGGCATCCGAGCACCAGGTAAGTCCCCAGGAGAGCACTGCCCACCCGTGGGTGACCTCGGTCACACCACCATAGGTAACTGCACCTCCACCCTCCACCGTCGTCTCAACCGCCTGCCTTGCCTCGCCTGTCTTCTTCCTGCCTTCAACACCGCCGAGGGGAACCAGGCATCTCCTCACTTGAGTGGTCCTGGACCCTCTACCATGCTGTGTTTTGGAAAGGGGCTTTTGGCACTATCTGTTGACTTTGCTCATTCTCTGGCATCTTCTTGGATTTTTATCTCCCTCTAGGACCTATGAGTGGAATGGGCATGAATATGGGCATGGAGGGGCAGTGGCACTACATGTAACCTTCACCTAGGTAACCAATGGCAAAGCCAGGGGGAAGTAAGTACAAACGGGGTCTTTGTTCTCACTTTGTCCCAGGGATATTTTCTCCTTGCATTTCCCTATGTTCTCCCTGCCCATAGCCTCATGCTTGTTCCTTCCTTTCCATCCATCCATCCTCTGCCTGGGCTCCTTCAGGTTTCTCTCCCTCCAGTTCAGCTCAAGCTTTCCAAGCTTCCCAAACCCCCTGTGAGTGCGTGCGCCATCCGTTGACGCCGCTGTACATCGACGCCGCTATACATTGATGCTATTATCCATCCCCGAGCACATGACAAAACAAGAAGCAGCCGGGGAGGTGGGGGGAGCCCGTCGTCTTGGCAACAGACTGATTTGCAAAATGTAAGCGGTCTGCAGCAGCGCAGGGAGAGGAAAGAGCATGTCCCCAAAGTGTCATAAATCTGTCTAACCGCAGTTGATGCATGAGTTACATTTCTCCCGCTAACCTGCAAGACACCAAAAAAAGCCAAACAGAGAGTTCTCATAGGTTTTTAAAAAAATAAATAAATAAATGGTGCCTTCACTTAGTTGCATTTTGGAAGGCGATGGATGAAACTTTGATTTTTTTTTTTTCAAGTTTATTTCTCTTTGTCTGTCCATCATAATGGGATTACGTGTGGCAAAGGAAAAAGAGAGAATACAAAATAGAGGTGTGCGCAGCAGGCTATGGAGCTTAGCCCAGGCTAATTGACTATATCCAAATTAAGTATGCCATCACTTGCAGTGTGACAAATGGATTTGACTTATTCAGTATACAAAAATAGAGATCATTAATGCAATCTTCAGTGGCAGGCCTCGCAAAGAAAGCCCAGAAAAACTGTCCCAGATTTTTTTTTCCCCTCTTGTCTTTTTATAGGAGAAAATACATGATAAAATTTGTGGTTTTTTTTTTTTTTTTAAAGAAGAAAGTGGTTGGAAACACTGAAGCACTGGTACCATACTCAAATGGTGCCTGATTCTGTTCATCTTGCTCTCTTTCTGGAGTGAAAAGCAGTTATTTTGGCATCTTGGTTGTGCCACCAGACTATATTAACGTAGGGTTTGAAGTTACCGAGGCCAAGTGTATTTTGTAGTCGTCTTCTCTGGGCACAAGTCAAAACTAAGTTTTAACAATTAGCTATGAAAACATTCCTCTGAGCTTGGGAATGCAACAGCCTTATTACCTCATCATGGAAATTTCTAGCTTAGTTAATTTAAATATTGTTTCTTAGTTTCTGGGTCAATTAAATTTAAATGATGTATTTTATGCTTCGTGACCAATTAAATTAATAGGTTATTACAAAAAATATTATAATCTTTTTTGATTAAAGAGCTGTGAGTACAGTATATTTTATAAGCAATTTTCATTAGTTCAAAACTGTTCCTTTAGGCTAGATTAAGCAGCTATTCATTGCTAGAGCCTTGAGACCTGATTCCAAGGTGTTCGGCGCATTCACAGTGCGCTCTTACTTAGAACTAAAGCCAATTGAACCTACTTAGCAATAGCGTATGCCTTTCACCCTTGATGATTATGGAGCTTATAGCTCTCCGAAACAATACACCTGTCAGTTCCCATCAGCTACAGCAATCCAAGCAGAAGGCAGAGGCCCACAGAAAGCAGGAGGTTTTATTGTTTTAGGTCCAATTTTTTTCTTATTGTTCTCCCAAACCCACTGAAAGGTTGACTGAGTTGCACATCTGATTTTTTTGGACTGAAGTGAGCAAGGGGAAAGAATTAATTGATAACTGTTATTGATTATATATATTTTTTGTGATGCATTTAAATATACAGGTTTGATTTAACAATTGTCATTAGTAATCCTATCCATTTTGGCTTCATATGTGGCCTTTGTTCAGCAACGTATGTGCTTGCTGTATAGCGTCTGTTTGAATGGCACAAATACTTGGGAAAGATTCCAAGTGATCAGGCTCGAGAGCTAAATAAATAACTGTTGATAAACCTCAACACTGATTTAACCCATCTCTCCTCCCAAGCCCCTCATTAACCACTACAGGTTCCCTGCCTTTGTATTGCCAGCATACTTTTACGAGACAGGAGATGAAGGCGAGTAGCTGGAACAAGGCCATGGGGTATGGAGGCCACCTGAGAGCCCTAGCAGGGCTTCCCCGGCTTGATGCCACCACCCCATGTGACCAGTTGTCATCGGGCTGGCTCTGCCTCCAGCACGCTTCCAGTTTGGGAGCATCTCCATTGCATACATTCCTAACCATGAAAGCAGAAAGGAGTTTTATCTCCCAAAACTCTGTATTTGGAGGGGAGAGGATGTTCTTGGGTTTTAGGGTTTTTTTTGACCTGGGGATCATTCCTGTTGCCATTGTTGTCAGTCCCCACATAGGCTTGGATCCCACAAAGGCAACAGCACTCACTCGCCCATGACTCCACATCCCACCTTGGGCTCAAGCCCAGCTTTCCCGTGCCCCAGCAGAGGAGCTTCATGGCCCCATGTTGGTTAGCTGGTCCCCACCACTCACCACTGCCTCTTTCTCTCCGCAGGGCTGCAAAGTATGCCAGGGGATTATGTGTCTCGGGGTAGTCCAATGGGTATGAATATGGGACAGCCAAGCTATACCCCACCCCAGATGCCCCCCCATCCCGCTCAGCTGCGTCATGGCCCCCCCATGCATACCTACATTCCTGGACACCCTCACCACCCAGCGATGATGATGCATGGAGGACCACCCCACCCTGGAATGCCCATGTCAGCATCAAGCCCCACAATGCTTCATACCGGCGAGCCGGCAGTGAGCGGACAAGTGATGGACATTCATGCTCAGTAGCTTAAGGGAAATGCGCGTTGTCTGCAGCGACGGTAGATTTCAAACATTGTCTTTCTGCAATGACTATGGAGTTCTTGGTGTCAACTTTGGACCAAGGGACGTTCCGATTCTTCACAGGGACCCTGAAAAGCAGGAAAACACCAACCGAAGCCAACTTCTGGGGACATGCTAAATAACTATATAAGACATTAAGAGAACAAAGAGTGAAATATTGTAAAATGCTATTATACTGTTATCCATATTACGTTGTTTCTTATAGATTTTTTAAAAAAAATGTGAAATTTTTCCACACTATGTGTGTTGTTTCCATAGCTCTTCACTTCCTCCAGAAGCCTCCTTACATTAAAAAAAAGAAGCCTTACTTACACTTTTCCTGCAAATGACAGAAAGGGTTTATTTGCAGGATTTTTAGAGCATTAAAATAACTATGTCAGGCAGAAGAATCTTTCTTCTATCCTAGGATTTCAGCCATGCACACTGTCTCTCTCTCCTCCTCTCTCTCTGTCTGTCTTTCTTCCCTTTCTCTCCCTTTCTCCCGGTCTCTCTCCCTCTCTCTCTTTCTAGCCTGGGGCGTGAATTTGCATGTCTAATTCATTTACTCACCATATTTGAATTGGCCTGAACAGATGTAAATCGGGAAGGATGGGAAAAACTGCAGTCATCAACAATGATTAATCAGCTGTTGCAGGCAGTGTCTTAAGGAGACTGGTAGGAAGAAGCATGGAAACGGAAAGGCAGTGTATTTGAAGCCTAATTGTCACATCAGAGCATCCTTGTCCCCATGCAGCAACCACCACCTTGTACATCACTTCCTGTTTTATTCAGCTCGAAACATGGACTGAAGATTTATTTTTAATATGTTGACTTTCTTTCTGGGCAGAACATCGGTCATGTGTGCATTTTTTTTTCCATAGTCCCATCATGGAGCATTTATGTATACATTGTAAATAAATTTTGTGCAAAAAGGACTGGAAAAATGATCTGTATTATTGCAATTTTTTGTAAAAGTAGCAGTTTGGTATGAGTTGGCATGCATACAGATTTACTAAGTGGGATAAGCTAATTATACTTTTGTTGTGGTTAAACAAATGCTTGTTGATAGCCTTTTTCTATCAAGAAACCAAGGAGCTAATTATTAATAATAATCATTGCACACTGAGTCTTAGAGTTTCTGATTGAAACAGTTTGGATTGTATAATAACTCAAAGCCCAGTTGTAGTAGTTTGAGTGCAGTAATGAAATCTGAATCTAAAATAAAAACAAATTATTTTTTGTCATGGTGACTCCACTGCTTGCAAAATTTGTTTCCTGCCCCGATTCAGTGTTTGTAGCCATTCTGTCCCAAACTGAGAGACGAGCAACTACAAAATTCAGCTAGCTCCAGAGATGTACCTATCATTTGCTATTTAAATATCGGCTTCATATTTAAAGAATGTAAAAGTAATGCTAAGCTGTGTAAAGAAACTTTCTCAAAACTTGCACTGTAAATTGTCAGGGTGGGAACTGTTGCTGTTAATAAATGGAATATTGTAGGGCATTATCGGACAGCAGTTTGTACTACCCCCAGCCCCAAGTTACAGTTCTAATACACAGTTTAAATTATTTGACCCACATACTACATTTCTTTCTGGTAACTGAACATATTAAGGAAGGAGGAAAATAAAACTTGGAAAACATTGCCCGGGCAGTGCACATTTGTAAGTAAATGACAGGCTGGCGTGAGGGGCTGCTGGACCTCTGCAAGGGGAGGCTGGTGCAGGCCGTCCTCTCCTCATTAACCAATTTCCTCGCACAGCTGTACTTTCTGCACCGCAGCCAATGAGTTAAATAGCACCAAATTTGGAGCCTGGGCAGGCTGCGATACCTTCTCATTTTCGTTAAATAAAATTGCAGCTAAAAAAAAAAAAAAAAAAAAGAGTTTCCTGGGGGTGGAAAAATTGCACAAATATCTTAATTAAGGCAAAATCATGCAGCGCCCCCTTTCACCCCCCTCCAGTCAGGCCC